TTACATTATTTTGCAAAAAAATGTCATAAATATGATCTTATTCAATCATTATTGAAATTAGTAAGGTTTTCTTTGTATTTTATTTCATATTCTATTTTAGATTTTGTTTTTCTTTCTTATAGCCAATTAATGATGAAATTAAAAAAATGGGTCAAATATTTGATAATAATGGTCGAACACCATTTCATTATTGTGCTTCAAAATTTAATGAATTTTGCGAACGATATAAAGTAACAAAAGAATAATATATATATTAATTAAATAAATAAATAATTTTTTTATTTTATTTAGTCTTCAAAAGGTAAAGATCAATTAAAGAAATCATATCAATCAATTGTTCAAATGATTGAATATTGTCTTGAATCAGCTGAATGTAATCCTGATATTGAAATACAAACAACAAATGACTTTAAAAAATCTAATGAAGATGATAATGACACTGATGATATTGATGAAGATGGAAATGTAAGTGATGAAGATCAAGAAGCAGAAGAAGAAATAGATGATGATGATGATGATAATGAAGATCAAGAAGATAATGATGAAAATGAACAAATATCAAATGAAAATTCTCAACAAATTGATGATAATTTTGTTGTAGACAATGAAAAATCTGATTTGAAACTTAAAGAAACAAGTATCTTTTATTTATTACGCACTGTTCCATTTATTGATAATACAATAAAACATCCATTAGAAATTTTTCTTAAAAAGTCAAAAAATCTTAATGTACTTCATCATAAAACTCATCGTACACCATTATTAGAAGCTATTTATCTTCGACAATTTCAAACAGCAGAAATGTTAATTCATAATTCATCATGTGATATTAATTTATCAACATCAAATCTTTTAAATGAACGTCAAAATACACCATTAATTTTAGCATGTAAATTACAATTATTATCTGTAGTACATAATTTATTAGAACATAGAAAATGTAATATTACATCATATGATTATAAAAAAAATCAAGCAATACATTATTATTTACAAACATCAAATCGTTCAAATGAATATTTAGATATATTAAATATATTTATTAAAAAATTAAAATTAACAACAATTAATGCTTTAAATATTTCTGGAAAACATCAACGTACACCTTTACATATTGCTACTTATCATAATTTAGGTACTATTGATGCAATAACAGATGTTGAAAAATTATTAATTGAAAATGGAAGTGATTTAATGATTCAAGATGATTTAGGAAATATACCATTACATAATGTTTTTTTAAATAAAAATATTGGTGATGATCCTGTAGAATTATGTGTTTTAATTATGAAAGCAATGAAATATAAATCTATGGATACAATAAATAATGATAGAAATACACCTTTACATTTAGCTGTGGTAAGTTTTCATATACAAATTAAATAAAACATTCATATTATGTCCTCTATTTTGTTTTTTGTTTCAGGCAAAATGTTCTACAGTATGTGTAATGCTTTTACAACAACATAATGCAAGTTTATTAATTGAAAATAAATTATCGAATTCAATAATTGGTACTTGTATAGCATCAGATCATTTGAATTTATTTATTACATTTCTTCAACAATCTATTGATATTGATCTTGCAAAATTACATAAACTACTCATTGAAAATTCATCATCATTAAAAACTAATGAAGAAATTTCTACAACTCAGCAAAATTTATTTCCTCGACAAGTGGTAACACGAAGAATATTAGTTGCTAATCGTTTTCCTCGACAAAAGGCACCACGAAAACAATTAGCTACTAAACAAATACAAACATTAGTTACAAAAAAAGAAAAACCATTAAAAACTGTTAATAATAATATTTGGAAATGGAAATATAGTGAAATAGAAAATTCTAAAGAATTTAATCAATATTCATTAATATATTTAATAATTGAACGTGATTGGCAAGGTGCATTATCATTAATTCTTAATGAAATTGATCGTTTTCATTTAACTTATATACAAATAATTGAAGCAGCTATATTAAATAATAAACTTAATCTTGTTCATCGTCTTTTATTACGTTTAAAAAATGAAATAAATATTAATGAAACAAATTCACATAAACAAAATTTATTTCATTTAATTGCTAATATGAATGAATATAATGAAACTTTATTAAAACAAATTCTTTTATTTCTTTATGAATATGATTTTAATTGGAATAAATCCGATGAATATGGTTCTTATCCATTACATTATGCATGTGTTAAACAAAATTTTATTTTTATTGATTTTCTACGCGAAAAATATCCTAGAATATTTAATTTAAATCAAACTGATTCATTTGATAATACAGCTAATAGTTTATTATTTTGGTCATTACCATATAAAACATCATTTTCAAATGAAAAACTTCGTTTATTAATTACATCAGGAAAACAATTAGATTGTTTATGTAATTATAATAATGAAATAGCTATGAATCCATGGTCATTTGGTTATATTGATTCATCAATTGAAGATAAATCTTATCCACCAACTAAATCTAATAATATACGAACATCGCCATTAATTCATGCAATCGTTCATAATAATTTTCAATTAGTTAAATTTTTACTTGAACTTAATGCTGATGTCAATTATTCGGATGAAAATAAACAAACACCATTTATGCATGCTGTTCTTCAGGTAAATGAAATCAAAAGTTTCTTTAGAAAAATTGAAAACATGATTTCAATAGATAATTATTAGAGTTTAGAAAAAAAA